AAATTTTGAAGGATCTTTTTTTCCTAAGTTAATATTATTCAGCAAATGGGTATTATAGACAGTATCGCTAGAGATTCTGTAAAAATATATTCTCTCCACCTGGTACAAAACTGTGATAGCTTCTTGCCTGGGACTGTCCTCATCTCTTCATATTGTTTCTAAAGGTTAAAATAAGTTTCTTGGTTATTGATATCATCACTTAAAATGTAAAATATGTTAACACCTTAAATATTTTTTCAGTCCATGTAAACAATTCATTTGGTGTGAGAATCTGGTTTGCATTTGCTGCTCATAGACTTGCTTTCGCTGCTTCTCTTTTTATAGTTCCTCCTATTCTATCACATGGACTTTTGCCATGGCATTTAGCAAAGAAGTGATGCTCAGCATTTATATTGTAATCTTTAAGATGGTACATAAACATTTAACAGACATATGTAATTTTTTTACTGTGACACAGCAACATAATTAAGGTATTTTACTTTATTGATTGAGGGTAGTTTTATTTTCATCATAGGGAGTAACTTTGTGAGATAACAATTAACAATTAATTGTTGTTTGGTCATGGTAAAGATGGTCATAAATTGTACAATAGCATTCACATTTAAGTTGATTTTTTTCATCTTTGTAATAAACAGCAAATGGATGTAAGATAGCTTGATCAGCTTGCCAGCAAAACTCTTGTACAACATCTTGCATAAGAAAAATATAGTTTTCTGCAAAATCCATAAGAATAAGACAAGTGTGTTAATTTATTGTTCTGTTAGTCTCTGATAAGTAGGAGGATTGTGCTTCTTTGATAAAGTGGTGGCAACAAAGGTCATACAAACTTTCACTTCACTGAGTTTCAATAAACTTAACAATGCTTGTTTGGACTATGACAAGAGCGGTTTGGTCAGTTGACATCTATTATAAGTATGTGATCTGATCAGCAATATCATTATTTTCAAACACATTTTCCAAGTAAGTCTTCAAAATAACTTTACCGGGGAAGTTAGAACAAAGATAAAACATACAACTTTGACTATCTATATTACAAACACATACTTTCATCAAATCTTTGTAATATATTAAATGGCCCTTAGGTAAAGCAGCGCACATCAACCTAGCATTTTGATGATAAAAAAATATGCAAACTGAGTGACTTCCACTACTGTTAACTGCGATGCACCACTTCGGCCTTAGTTTACAGAACATGCTGAATCCAACTTTGTGTTTACGGTATAACTTCTTAGACTCAAGATAAAGTTCCTTTATTCGAACTAATATTAAACGTTTTTGTTTATGAACTTTTACATTATTTATACACACAGATACAAAGTCTTTTTTTCCTGGATATTGTCTTGTGAACTCTTCGGATTCATAAATTTCAATGACTTTTTGTTTACCAATATATTGCAAAGGCTGTTCTATTATAGCCTCAAGTTTAGCAAGCATTAATTTTTCATTTTTTCAATGTTCGAGCTTTCTCAAAATGATGTTCTGAAACTGAAAAATGTTTTGCAAGTTTTTTCAATTGACTTACTATCAGGAGTTAGTGTTAGTAGTTAAACTTTATCTTCCCTCAAACTTATTTTCATTTTATTTTTAATTGTATCTAACAGTTTGTCAAATAATTGCAGTCTATACACTTTTGGTCTTTTTCTGATACTATATCTTTTGGGTCTCTATCCAAGGTTGATACTACTAGGTTTGTCATACTTGTTGAGATTTTTTTAGCTTTTTGCTTTCCATATCCTAATTTTTTGCGTCTTTTTACATTTTTGAGTAGAGGTATTTCCAATAAAGACACACTCTTATTAAAAGCTGTCTTATCAAGGTCTGAACAACTAAAATAGTCTTCAGCAGCATCCGCTTGACTAACTTTTGAATTCATTCAAACTAAAGTTTGAACTCATTCATACAGTTAGTACAAACTTTTCGACCAGGTTTGATACTAAGTTGCTTCGCTATTGATATGTTGACTTTATGCAATTGATAATTTTTTTCTTGTGGACTTTAAATGGATCACAACAATATTTTTGACGTGCTTCATATCTAGAAATATAGGCTTTTTCATGGTGAATACATATCTCCTTATTTGGTTCGAAAATGTATCCTATCCTTTAAATTAAAACTTCAATATCAGTATCTTTTAGTCTTATAATATAAACTAAAAAAAAACTTATTTATATTTTTCCAGCAATAAAATCAATAAAAATAAAACTTCAAATATAAATGTGATTAAAACTGCCTAAAACTAAACAAAAAAACTATTTCTACATAAAACTATTTCTGCATACACAAAACTTTTTATTTTTTGGTTCTTGAAATATTAAAAACTAAAATAAGAAAATCCAAAAAATCCTGTGCAGATTTTAATACAAACTCTTGAAACAATTGAAGTATTTTACACTCAAATTGTAACCATGTGAAAATTATATCATTATAATTATATTATGTGCATAAAATTTAACAAATACATATTATAAAATCCATCAAATAAATTAAGTAAAGACACTGATGTTATTTTAGGAAAAACTGATTAAATTAAGGGAAAAATTAAAAATATACATAGTCATAGGGCTACAATCATGTCATAAAATAGAGTATGGGTCTTTAAATTATGTCATAAGATAGAGTATAGGTCTTTAAATTATGTCATAAGATAGAGTATGGGTCTTTAAATTATGTCATAAGATAGAGTATAGGTCTTTAAATTATGTCATAAGATAGAGTATAGGTCTTTAAATTATGTCATAAGATAGAGTATAGGTCTTTAAATCATGTCATAAGATAGAGTATAGGTCTTTAAATTTTTTTTGGTGATTGTCTATATATAGAACCTTGCCAGTAAAAAGTTTCATTATTTATTTTAACTGTCTACTCTATTTTTTATGCTTGTAAAGTAAATGTAATTTATCATATTTTTTTTAAAAAGTGATACTTTAACAGGCTGCTGCAAGTGCTAAAATAACTTTCAATACATAATTTTAACTGTTTCCACAAGTGGTTACTCTTAGTAACAAAAAATTGGCATAGCTTCTCTGTTGATATTGAACTGTTTGAAGTTTCCAAAATACTTTTTAATATTGTGTTATTTAGCTACTTTGAGGTACAAGAACTCAAAAATTGTTTAAAATCAGTCAAAAACACCTACAAAAATAGATAATTTGGGTGAAAAACTATTACTCTTGAAAATTTTATTTTATTTCAAATATTATGATCTGTTAAAAATCGAAAAAATCTACTGTAAGCTCCAGATACTCAAATTTTTCCAATTTTGGTCAATATTAATTCACTTATAACTTTTGAACGGTTTAGTCAATCAAGCTGAAATTTTCAGGATTGTGTTTTTTTCGTAAAAGCTGTAGGTGGTCAAAATTTGAAGCAAATTTGAGGTGTTACCCTGGAGCACTTTTGAAAAACTAGGTGATTTCATATGGGTTATTTCATAACCCCATAGTAAAATTGTTGACCAGCAAGTTGCAAAAAATCTGCTAATCTCTACATTAAAGAATGTCTCACAAAAGATTTTTGCCATTTATGAAAAAACACAAACATCGATGCTTCTTTTGGCCAGAACTTGCTGCCTCTCACTATTTTAAGAAAGTTCTACAGTGGTGCAAAGATAATCATGTGAAAATTGTTTCTAAAGATTATGTCATAAGATAGAGTATAGGTCTTTAAAAAGATTAGATTGTTTCTAAAAGCGAATCCTCCAAATCGTCCTGAAAAAAAAAGTGGATATGTGTCACCAATAAGGTGAATTAAGAAAAAATCTGCAAAATGATTGCATCAACCTGTTATAAAATTTGATCTCTTGCCAAACAGCCTATCAAGCCCTTTAAAATTAAGTTGAAACTCTAATTGATATAAACACATTTAATAATAAAAAATTGAAATAAGAAGCATTTATGGTTTTACAGAAACCTTAATTAAAGTTGACCGGATTTTTCCATGACCACCTGATACTATTACTGATAACACTATTTTAAGTCATCCTGGATTATCATTTACTACTCTAATGAATCTGTTGCAAACTTGGGATTCGCAAAGGTTGTCTATCTTTTGCTTATATTATACCTACTTATGATACTGATCTTCACCTCTTTGTAAATACTGTTGTTATATTTGGGCTTGTTTTTTTAATGAGACCCAGTCTCTTCAGGACAAAGTCAAAAATGCATAGTAAATATTGTTGGAACTGATCTAGCCGCAAGCTTGACCTTCTGTTCCATCATTGAAAGTTCCAATTTATTACTGTTTAATAAAGCAACAGCTCAAGATGGTAAAAAATGTGGAGTAGAATAAGGCTTATTGAAGAAAAGGAATAGAAGCTTCCAAGTATTTATTCCTTCTGGAATAAAAGCTTCCAAGATGCATTTTATGCATACATATTATTGGTATAAACATATATGCTTGCTTTTTGTTTAGATGCTGGCAAACAATATCCTTTCATATTTATATAAACTTTAATATTTATATGGTGTAGTATTTGCAAAAATAGAAGATGATAAGATGAATATGTGGTGTGACTCTAACACGACAAGAAAAGAAGACATCTCATCAAACAACATTTGTTAGAGAAGATTAAAGTGATATAGGTATCAGCATATATAGAGGTAGAAGCTTCAGGAGAAAATGGTAGTGGTAAATGTAAAAAAACTTGAAGAGAGTGCCTTATATTGTATGAATGAGGTTTAAATAAAGAAAGAAAATGCTCTAGATTGTTTATATTAGAGAGACAGCATAAAAGACAAAAGCTAAAGCCTGATGATGATGATGATGATGATGATGATGATGATGATGATGATGATGATGATGATGATGATGATGATGATGATGATGATGATGATGATGATGATGATAATGATGATGATGATGATGATGATGATGATGATGATGATGATGATGATGATGATGATGATGATGATGATGATGATGATGATGATGATGATGATGATGATATATATAAATTTATAATAAACAATAGAATTTAAGATAATATATACTTAACATACTTTAGTATAAAGATCTTTTTCAAGAGCCAGTGATGCAGCAGCTGCAACAAACCAACAGTTCCCAACTCTACCCTGGGTAACGTCAGCACTACTTGCACCATCAACAAACATTTGTGGGTCATCGCAAATTTCCTGGTAACAAAATATCTTAACAAATATCCTACTCCCTTTTACAAAATAATGTATATTATATAGCATACAATTACTGTGTATAATATACAATTTATATCTTGATTGTTTCATTTTACTTTTTAAATTTTTCAAATTTAATTATTATGCAGTTTATAACTTGTTATCATTCTATTATTAACAAAAAGTTTGAAATCATTATTTATATTTACTGATTTACTCAAACCTATTCATTTATTTTATATTTTTAAACCTATTCATTTATTATATATTGTTTAAGTATTATTATCATCTCTATAATTGACATTATTGTTTTTATTATTGTTACTGTTGTAAATTGTTATTATACTACTGTTATTATTATAATTTTAATTGTTATTACTAATTTTATCATTACAATGATTATTACTGTATTATTATTAATTTTATTATTATTATTAATTTACTATTTAGGTTATATACTTTTTCAAATTTACGATTAATATTTGTAGGTTGTCACATATTTGTCAGTTACATAACTGTTTGTGACTGATCCTAGCTTTGCATTAATTTTATTTTATAAAGTGAAATAAATGATTGATTGATTGATTTCTTTGGACTATAGCTCTGTAAATCATGAAAATTAACACTTAAGCAAATTTTGCAACAAAAAACCTGTTAATGATAAAGATTTTACTTTTTGCTGACTATGTCAATTAATACCATTCGGAGAAGAATAATTGCCTGTCACAACCTTGATGCTACTTGTTCAGCTTCAATATAATCAGATTTAACTATCATCCTCAAATTTGCATGGCATGTTAATAGGAATGCACTGATATGAAAAGCACTTACCAAGAACTGACAAGTATTTGACATAACGCTTCTCGAATGTCTCATTACGTTCAGCTTTCATACTCTTGGAGTTGTTCAAAGGATGTTTTTCATAGGACTTCAGTTTGCCAATATGACAAATTAAGCGGCCTCGTGTTATTGTTGGTTGTTTTATCAAAATCAATTCAAAATTGAAAAGCTGAGGAACAGTAAAACTGCAATATGTGACAAATTTAAATAAAGATGTCACATATTGCCAAAGGAGCTTTGTCATCTTTGAAGTTAACATCCTTTTGTAAAACTTGTTTAATACTTGACATAAGGCTTTCTGCAAGTTCTCCGACAGTTTTTCTTACGCAAATGATACAAACAGTTCATATGCAAATGATACATATATTTGCAGACTTCATGTATTTTTTACAGAATTTGGCGTTTTGATTTTATTATTTATAAAAAAAAAAAGATCAATCAACAAAGTTTTGTTTACATTTTTACCGCCAAACGTATCTCACAACCGATTCGCTGCAAGCGACTTCGCAAATTAACGAACTGTAAAACGAGGCATAAAATAAAAACAGTTTTGCGTCTTTTTTCTTCTGATAAAATTTTTAAAACCTGGGTTTTAAAAACCTGCAGGGTGTTTTTCGTCTTTTTTCTTCTGATAAACTTTTTAAAACCAGACGGTGTCGTTTTTTGGCGTTTGTCAGACATTTTGCAAACTCTGAATAAAACATATATATGTTTATAGTTATGTCATATAAGGATGCTTTGCGATGATTGGAGCCCGGGAACAAAAAAAGCCTCAAAACTTGTACCCCTAGCCCCGAACGTGAGAACAACCAGTTGATAAGATATTTTTTGTACTATTCTTAACTAGACTTATATTCATCGATAAATTTTTAATTTCATATTAGGGTAATAGTAAAATCTCTTAGCGTTCAAAAATTATGTCCATATAAAATTTGAAACGTATACTTTACAAGGTATTCGTAAATTACATTGTTTATAAATGTTTTTAAGGTTCCGATGATAAGATCTTAGTGATCTTCTTTCGGAAACCTAGTTTACACTGTTATCACGATTTGTATATATATATATATATATATATATATATATATATATATATATATATATATATATATATATATATATATATATATATATATATATATATATATATATATATATATATATATATATATATATATATATATATATATATATATTTGTAAAGTAATTTTAATAGTTTATTGTAAAACGACTAACTTTGTATACTGAAAAAAAATAAAAAAAATAAAAAAAAAAGAAATCTCAAATAGAGGAGCGTTAAAACTTTATATTGTCATAATTCTTGAATGCCAAGTGTAGCACCAATCACTTATTTGGTTGATGTCATCTTGCAGGCTTTTAGTGTCGATATCCTTTTTCAAATGTTCTTTTTACTGTTTTTTAGTTCACCGCTGTCAGATTTGAGGGCTTGTATTTTTTTTTTTTTGAATTTTCATTTTATTGAATTTTCAATTTTATTGAATTTTCATTTTGAATTTTCAATTTTATTGAATTTTCATGCTATATTTTTCTATACAATGTTCTTATATTCGAAGATATTGTTGGCTTAGCATAGGAACAGCCACAAATAGTCATTAATCCAAAATAGCGTCCGTTATTGACCAACATTTTTGCGTACAGAAGTACTACTGAAGCGCTGAGTTGGCGGTTACAGGATTTGAACTCGTATTTTACAACAGTCCGGTTTTAAACTTTTTGTTCGACGCTCTAACTAACTGAGCTATCCAGTCACAACATGTGGATGTCTGATACGACTAAGTCAGGGTCAGGCTTTGGGTCAGGGTTAGGGTTAGGGGTTTTTTTTAGGGAAAGTTTTTTTCTAGGGTTAGAGTTTTTTTCTAGGGTTAGGGTTTTTTTAGGGTTCAGCGTTAGGGTTATATTTCAAACATTTATGTATTGAAGTATATATTTTAATTTGCTGTATATATTTGAAAAGAGTCTTTTTGGATTTTTTGTGTCGTTTGCTAAATTGAAATCGTAGTTTTATCTTGCTTTTTTTGATGCTTTTTATATATCTTTACTTGCATTGCAGTATTCCTTTACAAGTTTGGTTTTTTTCCATTTTGAGGCTCTTTCCACAGCGTTTTCTTAAGTTGAGATAATTTTTTTATTTTAATGGTTACCCATGGGGCTCCTTTAGTTGTTAAACTTATTCTTTTTTTTTTTGAATGAATTTTTCACATAGATCATAGTATTAATAAAGTAGTTTGTCATAGCTTTTATTTGCGGTTGAGTTATCAAGGATATTTTCCCAGTTGATCTTTTTTAACTCTTTTTTTATTAATTTGTAGCCACCTTTGTAGTAGTTAAATTTCTTGCTTGAAAAGGTGTGGCCGAGTTTTTGAGCAACTAAAAAATTACATTTGAAAACTAAATGATCTTGTTTAGTTGTTCCAAGTGGCGAGTCCGATTGTAGATTTTTTATTCGATTTATATCGTCGCATATCACATAGTCAAGAGTGGTTTTACATTGTCCATTTGCTTGTATGAATGTGGGAAAGTCAACATATTGAGTGAGGGAACTTTTGTTGAGCATATCAATGAATTTTACAGATAATTTATTATTTTTAGGGCTTATTACACATACGGTACCATCATTAAACATTTGGAATGTTAAAGTCACCACAGATAAGTGTTGAGGTCAATTTTTTAGTGTCAACAAGTAGCTTTGCCTTGCTAATGCTTCTTCTAATTTCAGTATAGCTTGACAGATTATTTTTATATCTTGAGGTAGACGGTGGTCGATATAAACACCCTTTTAGAATTTTTCAATGTTTATGTTTAACAAACGCCAAGTTTGCTCTTAGTTTGTGTCTGTTAATTATTTATAATCAATTTGAACAGAAGGTAGGTCTTTGCTAACATAAATTGCGACTCCTTCGTGATAACCCTCTCTATCTTTACGAAACACATTGTAACCGTCCAGATGTAGGACTGATCAACTTTCGAACCATGTTTCACTTACTAAAATTATGTTGGGGCAGTTGACTAAAACATTTTCTGTGAGTTTGTTGAGTTTGATTGCATTTAGCGATCTTGCATTAGTGTATATACATCTTATATGCGTGTCATGTCGCAAACTTAGCAATAGCGGTATTAGTTTTTTGTTCAGCGTGAGTTAGTTTGCTGTTACGCTCATCTCTTTCAATTCTTAGTCTCTTTTCTACGTCTTGTTCTGTCTTTGTTTTATCTATATCAATGTACACGTTGTCGCAGCCTTCCATTGTTCTAAGCTTGTTGCGCTTGTTTAACAGTTCAATTTGACTATTATGGTTATCGAGTACTACTATTGTTAGTGGAAGTCGTTTAGTTGCACTTATCGTGTTTGCAAATGTGTTGATTGCATTTATTGCTCCTGACATTGATATAATATAATCAAATTATTATTATTTTTAATTTGTTATTTAGGTGCCCCAAGCAGTTCTAACGGTCTTATCGCAGAGCACCGCGGAAGTGCATTTAACCAGAAAGTTTTTTTTTTTTTTTTTTTTTGTTGTTTTTTTTTTTTTTTGTTTTGTTTATATCGTGTTACAGTTTACAATTATATATAAATCGTAATACAATTATATAAATAACTTTAAAAATAAAAGCTTTACAAATATAAACAAGGTTTCTGATAGAAGATCTCATTGATCTTGTCGTCAGAACCGTTTAAAAGCGTAAAAGCAACAACAACAGCAAAAATAAATAAAAAATTAAACATTATACAGTTTGTTACTGCATATTAGAAGTAATTCATTATATCGTGTATAAAAAAAATAATTTTTTTAGTTTATTTTTAAAAAGGTTAAAATGGAATTGATAAATCAAAATTATTCAAAACAATTTTGTTCCAGAGATAAGGTGCAATATATCCAGTAAAAAATTGATTAAACTTTGTACAACAATGTGGTTCATTCAAAAAATTATCATTTCACAAAATATATTTGTTTATTTTTTTGATAAAAAGATCTTTAAAAATAGATTGTGCTGAGTCTACTTTACATTGAAACTTTACATTAAAACAAAAACACAAAACTTTATAAATGTTGAGTTGATATACATTAAGGACATTCGCACCTTTGAATAAAAAATTTGAAAGCGTTGAACGATTTTTAAAATATATTAAACACATAGCGTGT